GAGCGCGAGCGCGGCCGCCGGCGCTCCCGGCGCGGACTGGCCGGCCTCCTGCCGGTGTGTTTTTTACCTGCCCTGGCCCGCGGAAGGCCGGCGACGCCTCTGTCAGTGCTGTGTACGCGTCTGGTCCCACGTTCCTCACGGTGCCTGAACCTACACTGACGCCACTCAGGTAGTAGACGGATAGGAAACAAGTCATACTGTTGGCAGTGGGTGTGCTCGCTAGCATCCGCCTCGTCCGTGGAAACTCAATAGCCATTGCAAGAGTATTTTTGTTCCTCGATACGAGAAATAAAGGAATTTGCCGCCCCTTGTTTTTAGAAGGGAGTGTTTTACATGCCTTCTTCTTCTTTTCCTTTTTGCTCTTTTTCCTAACCCAGCGACTGACCTCTTCCAGGCAGCGGGCACCCGTGCGCGGTCGATACCACCCAGGGTTTAGTGCCAAGGCGCAGCCGGGGGCCAGGTGGCCTGGCTCCAGGCACCCCCTGCACCCCTGCCCCCAGGAGGCCAGGCGCCCGGCCACCCGCTGACGCTTCAGTGGTCACTGTGGCCCTTTAGGAACATTCGATCCAGCTTCATCTCATAAGCAAACCTCCTCCCACAGCCCCCGGCTCGAGCACCATCACACTGCCATCCAAGCCGCGGGCGTCCGCAGAAGGGGCACGGGACAACCTACCTCACGGGGCGCGGTGAGGTGTAGCGATCGCTCCCGGTGCCGGGCAGCTCAGGTGACCGTTTTCCAAAGACACCTTGGGTCCCAAAGGCAAGGCTCTGGACTGACTCATGGAAGTTGCCCGTGGACGAGCAGAGAGGACCACCTGCTCAGATTCCTCCTTTTGAAGACGCTTCCATACTGAACTGTCACCGGAGGACCCCAGGAAGTGACCGTCGCTGCCCCAGGAGACAGGCCGGGCGTTGACCCTTCGGTCACTGTAAGCCCCCCCCCCCCCCCGAGGCTGCTCGGCACCGGCCTGGGCCCCTTGCCGGAAGGAGGGGGCTGCAGGCCTGGAAGGAAGTCCACCCCACCTCCCATCTGGGTTCTGCATCTCTCTGGGGCCAGCCAGGTCCTGGCGCCTTCCACCGGGCAGGGAAAGCCCTGCCTGTGGCTCCATAACACATCAAGGGGCAGCCCCACCCCTGAGCCGTCCCTTTTTTGGTGCCTCCTACATTTCTTGAGGAAAAAAAAAAAAATGTGTCCTTAGCTACCCGGTTCTGAGCAGCAATATGAAGCCTCTTCCTTCCAAGATTACCTCTGGAGAATGTCGTTCTTGGCCAAGGACACGGAGCAGTGAAACCTGCCTCACTAAGGAGAGATCTGGTTTCCAAGAAATGCAGATAAGATGGGGGAAATCCTCGCTAGCAAGAGCCTTGGGAGCCCTCTAAGCTAGGAAAGGAGAAAGCGCCCAGCTTTGCTGTGAGTCTGTCCTCAAAAATGCAGGGGGCCGTCACCTCGCCACTGGAGCCAGCCTCTCCTACAGAAAAGATGCTTTCCCCCGACATAAAGAGCAGCAAAAAACAAACACAAAACAGGGAAGGGATTTTTGTTTTTACTTGTTTGAAGAATTATAATAAACTAATTTGAGTATCTCCTGTGAGTAATCCCTTTTGTTTTTACTCCTTCCACAGCACGTGGAGTTTTCCGTAATTTCTTCAAGTTTTGCATAAGTGGTTCCTTAAATCAAAATTATTTATTAAATAGAATCTTTCAGAAGAATTTTTGAAAGTTTTACTTTTCATGCCGAACGATACTTTCAAGGTGGGGTAATTACTAATATCCCCGTCCCCCATGTTACGGGATTTCTTTTGTTACTAGCGGGGAGAAGGTAGTTTTTTTAAAAATCTCTCACCGAGAGGGTTTGTGGCAGCTTTTGGACTGATTCTTCATGCCATGCTGAGCAACTGCTTTGCCATTCAATACCCGAGGTCGCAGAAGGTGCTGCTCCAGGGGCAGATGCTAGATATTCTGCTCACACCTAGAAGGTTGAGACCACCACCCTGGAAACCACTTACCTGTGCAGTCAGAAACCAAATCCTAGGCACAGAAGTTGAGGGTGCAGAGAGTTGTGTTTGGTTTTCAATTTTCTAATGTTAAAACAGCCAACCAGAAACTTCCAAAATGGGCTATGCAAACCCTTCATCTTTCTTGAGGTCTCAGCAAAGTTTGGGGGGCGGGAGGAGGCCAATCAAAAATAAAAATGGCCCATTGCAATAGCCAAGGAAAACCCTCAACCTTCAGTGTCATTCATGGGTGTGGGCAAAAGACAGTGACCTGTTCTTTCTCCTGAACTTCTAAGTCACCTGCTCATCTGACAAATGTGCCATGAATACGCACCAGTGATCCAGCCACCGGTCACCGCGTTGGCTTTTCCAGCCACGTGGAAGACCCCTGGTGTCACCTGGTGGCTCAGTGTGCCAGGTGCCTGTGAGCACCAACCTGCTCCAGGTTAACGTGGTACCACCCCATCCACATCGTTTACAATAGCCATTCCCTCTGGTGAGAGAACTGGATCATTTTTCCTCTAGACAGTATTGATGCAAGAGAGACCCTCATTAGGTTAAATGCACGAGTCCGGTGTCCCAAGGTCTCCATATTGTTCAAAATATCTGTTTAGACTTGGTTCCTGACCAGAGATTAGTTTATCAGACTGGACAGGATCTATTAGCACTGCTGTGTTGTTCGCATGTGGGTCAAGAGACCCTCTGATGCCATTTTACGACCTGGGAGCCCTTTGTGGATCAGATAGGGAAGTGGATTTTGAGCAGTGGAGTAAAGGAAGAAGGCCAGTCCCAAGTCTAGAAGAGCAGTGAACCCGCAGCCCAGGATGCGTATACTGGGCTTAGGAGCCACTGGCCAGCCCTGCGAGCTGCCTGCCATCTGACATGATCAAACTTACCTTTCTGGGAAAGGCAAATGTCTCTTTTAAGTTTCCAGAAGGAACCCAGATGGTCTACCCCAGCAGAGGTGATTATGGTAATTTACTTCACATTTCCTGCACATACATTACTGGGTATATGATTTTTTTAAATAATATATTGTTAAAGGAAGGAGTTTTTAAGTGTATTCTGTTTGTAGACTTTATGCTATGTTGTGCTGAAATTTTACAAGCCAAGTTTAAATTGTACTATAGAAATTATTTTTGTATTATTTTCAGAATATGCCACAGAGCAATATTTTGTCCCCTTATATTGTCACGGGGTGTCTCCTTGGAAGGGTGACTTTTGGTGGGAAGGGCTCTCCTGTGGGATACGGGGCTTTCTGCTGTTTGTTCAGATACCCTCTGAAAGTGGGAATGTGTAAATGTCTTTTTTTTTTTTAATTGAAAGCCTAATTTCTTTTTCTGTTTATGGATTTTGGTACCGCACCTTTCCTCTTAAATGAACACTTTATATTCACGAAGTTACTGTGGACTTTTTCTTACCTGTGACCACCCACTGCCTCAAGTGGAGTTCCAAAAGATTTGGATCTATTCCTTTACAAATTTAATGTTTTCCAAAATGATTTAATTCACTAATTCTGGTAGCTTACTGTCATGAATTTGGTGACTCGGGATAGAAGAACTCTTTTTGTGCCCCCCCAACTTCTGGGGGGGTCTCACTTTGCGGGGTGCCCTGCCTGTCCTGGGCCTGCATCCTGAGCTCTCACCCACCTCCCTTAGCGTCCACAGGCTCATTTTGCAAACCACTTGACTTTGCAAAATGAAACAACCTGTCAAAACACATTTCACACTAGTTGAGAAACAAGGGCTGTACCTATCAGTGGGATATCTGGGCAGGGGGAAAAAAGGCTTTGCCAAATCTGTGTGTGTCCGTTCCGTTCTCTGTGCATCTTTTCTGTTTACTGAGAGACCTGGAGTAAAAGCTGAGGGCATTGACTGTATGTTTGGGGTTTCTTTCTTCATGACGTGATCCCTTTCCCCCCCATTTTGTACATTTGGCAGGTCAAGTGCTTTCTCTGTCCTTTCCCTCAAGGCTTCTAATACATAAGAAGAAAACGCCCTTTGTCATGGCAGAACAGGCACTGCCAGGTCAGACCTCAGCTAGCGGGGGTGCCCTTGGGCTGCCGAGGTGTCAGAGTGTCCCATGCTGCAGTCACCCAAGGACAGGCACACAGAGGAAGGGAA